ATCAATTTATTTGTCCCCTTCTTCCCAACTTCCAACAGTAAGCCCATCCTTTCTTGTGATTAAATTTCATTAGAGAGACTTCAACCAATTGTACAAGTATAATTTTTCATACAGTATTTGAGATTATATGCCATTTTTCCTTTCCTTCATTGTTTTACTCCTGACACTGTAACCACTCATCTCCAGATTGTTGTTGAATCTTCCCTGAAGCACTATCCTAAATAACTTCAGAAGTTGAAAAAGAAAACAAGCACATGTGTGTGTACGTGCACATGCACATGCACATGCACACACACACATATGCACAAACATTTAGCAGCTATCATCTTTTGAACTGGGCCATTTCCAAGGCGCCCTGGTTGCATGGAGGATAATGTGAGGTCAACATATACCTGACAGAGGGTTCTCTTATATGTACCTACAATGAAATGAGTCTACTATTTTTGTTTGCATCAAGGATATGTTTGTGAAATATGATTCTCATTGGAAAAATTATCAATTGCAGTAAAGTTCTTTGTGTTGGTCCTGGGGCTTGAACTCAAGGCCTGCGTACTGTCCCTGAACTTTTATTTGTTCAAGGCTAGTGCTCTACTACTTGAGCTACTGGTCTACTTTTGGATTTTTGGTGATGAATTGCAGGTAAGAGTCTTATGACTTTCCTTTCTAGGCTGGCTTTGAACTGTCATCCTCAGAGCTCAGCATTCTGAGAAGCTTACAGGCAAATCACCAGTGCCTGGCTGCAAATAAAATTCTCTAGATGTTCATACTTAAAATAATGTGAGGCACTATTGACAATACTTTAGTTAGTGAATATTCATACAGAAACAAGAAATCAATGATTTACCACGTTTTCCTTTCTGGGAGCAAAAAGAAATTTTAAATTTAATATACTTCTCAATGATCTATGAATAGCATTCTAGTTTTATACACAGTTTCCCAGGTAAAGGGTGCTCTGCTATGTAAGGATGAGGATTTTCCATGTACAGGACTTCTCTCTTCTTTCCGTGCATTTTAAGCTTTTAAGGTAGTATTGATGTAATAAGACATAAGTCATCTATTCATCAAGACAAGACTTCAAAGTTTCAGAGGAAGCGAGCTAACATTTAGGCTTTACATTTTTATTACATATGGAAATTGGACAGAAGAATTTCCTCTGAGGCACATGGATTTCATTTGAATTAAGATACAAAGTAGGCCACTATATCAATGTATACATATTAATGAATGTGCTTTAGGCATCAATGTATTAAATATATCAACTACCATGAAAGTATTAATGTCAAAAGGCACTAATACAGGTTTGAACCGTTTTGTATTCTAGTCCAATTTCTCTGCTAGGTTACATAGATTTAATAGCTAATAGCCTAACAAACTACTGCCCTCAGATATGAGTTTAAGATTTAGAGATAAAACTTGAGCTGTTGCCTCTACTTTCATTTGAGAATGCCTAGGCTTAACTCCAAAAACAGAAATTCCTATGCTAAAAGCTAAAATAAAACAAGTTCAAGAGAATTCCATGTTGTTAGGAATTTCTAAGGAGCTAGACAAGGAGAAGGTTAATTTCATTAGAATCCCAGGTTCAAGTTATTCTAGTCTTGTTAAATTCATACACAAACACACACACATATACACATACATGAATGACAACTATGCCTATTTATCAGACAAATACAGATAATATAGATAACTTCCAGTCAATCCAATGGGATTCTAATATCTTGAGAAAAATATTCTGTTCAGAGAGAAGGTCAGATAGGTATGATGGCCACTTAAGACAAATGTAAAATTCAATTTAAACAAAAAAAAAACATAGAAGGAATCAACAAAATAAAAGAGTTGGTTCTTCGAAAAAATTAACAAAATAGACAGACCCTTAGCAAATCTTATCAGAAAAAGAAGAGAACACACCCATATAAATAAACTCAGAGATGAGAATGGAAACATCACCACAGAAACAACCAAGATTCAGAACATTATAAGGGAATACTTCTCAAACCTTTATGCTAATAAATTTGAGAATCTGGAAGAAATGGACCTTTTCCTAACAAATATCGACAGGCCGAAACTAAACCAAGATAAGTTAAACCAACTTAACAGACCCATATCAAGCATTGAAATAGAAACAGCAATAAGAGACTCCCATCTAAGGAGAACCAGATGGATTTACAGCTGAATTCTACAAGGTCTTGAAAGCAGAATTGACACCAATACTCCTCCAACTCTTCAATGAAATTGAAAGAGAAAGTTCACTACCGAACTCATTCTATGAAGCCATCATAACCCTCATCCTAAAACCAGGCAGGGACTCCTCAAAGAAAGAGAACTATAGACCCATTTCTTTGATGAACATTGATGCAAAACTTCTCAACAAAATTTTGGCCAATCGACTTCAACAATTCATCCAAAAAATCATGCACCACAATCAAACAGAATTCATTTCAGGGATGCAAAGCTGGTTCAATATACACAAATCAATTAATATAATTCATCACATCAACAAGAGCAAGGGTAAGAATGACATGGTTATCTCAATAGATGCAGAAAAAGCATTTGACAAGATCCAACACCCCTTTATGATGAAGGCTCTGGAAAAATTAGGAATCCATGGAACATTCCTCAATACAATAAAGGCTATATATGACAAACTAAAGCCATTTCCTCTAAACTCAGGAATGAGACAAGGATGTCCACTCTCTCCACTTCTCTTCAATCTAGTATTATAATGCCTAGCTACAGCAATAAGAGAAGATGCAAACATAAAGAGGATCCAAATAGGGAATGATGAAGTAAACACACCCTCTTTGCAGAAGACATGATCTTGTATTTAAAGAATCCCACAGATTCCACTTCCAAATTACTCAAGCTGATTCGAAACTTTGAGAAAGTAGCAGTGTATAAAATTAACCCTCAAAAGTCAGTGGCTTTTCTGTATGCCAACAATGAGAAGAATGTGGCTGAAATCAGGAAAGCAACTCCATTTGTAATAGCCCCACAAAAAATAAAATACCTAGGAATTAACTTAATCAAAGAAGTGAAGGACCTCTATGAGGAAAACTTTAAAAACCTGAAAAAGGAAATCAAAGCAGAACTTAGACAGTGGAAAAACCTCCCATGCTCCTGGATTGAAGGATCAACATCATGAAAATGGCAATACTTCCCAAGGCTATCTACAAATTCAATGCAATACCTATCAATATTCCAACCTCATTCTTCAAGGAAATAGAAGAGGCAATCCAAAAATTCATATGGAAAAATAAAAGACAAGCAGAAAAAGTCAGATAAGATAATGTTAAATGAAATGAACCCCAAGATAGGGACTTCTTGCTATTGTTTCTAAAGTATTTATAAGGTACTATGTGATTTATTTTTTGTTGCTTTGTATGTCCCTCCCCCATGATATAACCCCTGTTTTCACTGTATTTGATGTTGGTATTATTTAGGGAGGGGAAGGGAAAAACAAATTGTTTAAATAGGGATACGGTTGGCCCATTTCAAAAATGAGATGTCCAAGATGCTATGTTGAAAAAGGAGCTTTACAATTTAGGCGGTGGGAGGGAAGGGATGGTAGGGGAAGAACAAAGGAGGAGGCAACAATGCTTGATAAGAAATGCACTCATTACCTTGCTCATGTAACTGTAACTCTTCTGTACAGTATTTTCACAATAAAAAAAAACTTATTAAAAAAAAAAAGAAATATAAAAGGTGAATTGCCACAGTTTGAAGTCTAATAATAAAAGTCAAATGGAAAATTTCCAGAAAGAATTTGTCATGATAAACAGCTATAAATGACTATTTTATGAATAATTTAATAATTATTTGCACTGGCATAAAAACTCTAAAGTATAATCTGCCCCTGAAGAAGACAAGGAAAGAAGAAAGACATGCTTACAGCTAAATCACACTACAAGAAATAGCAGAAATGGCTCCTGGAGAAAATGCATCATGTCAAAATATATGGTCATAGAATGAAAATTCAGTAAAACCTCTATGGTTGATATTTAGAGCAGGCAATTCACAGGTAGGAACTCTGAAAATATGAAGAGAATACCTCTGATTATGATAACAACATCGCCTCAACCTGGAATACATACTTCATTTAGTAGCAAGTGGTAGCTGATAATGCAGGAGTCATAGACTAAAGAAAGCCTCATAAAGTTTACTTTGGACTCTCCAAGAGTAATGGATCCAAGGAGAGCGGCTCAATTGATTGTGGTGAATGACATAAGTGTCCACAGCACTTAGCAAACAAATACTTCTCTATTCCGAGCATTGGAAGCTAAATGGTAGAGTCTCTGATGAACATTTTATCGAATCTACTTCTGGATTTTATATCAGTTTATTGCTACGCCTTTGAGTTACCAATTTAATTCTTGATTTTGGAGAGTTTTCATAATTATTTATTAAACAGCTAGCATCCGTAACACACTAAGCTTGATGTTATTCAGGACCCAAAAGAACATGAGTAAATTTAAATCACAAACCCTGCCCAACTATATTGTTGAGTCCTTTAATAACCATCATTTAAATTAGCTTTTAGATGTTAGCTTTATCAGCTAACATCTCAGCAATACAATTTCTCTGCATGAGTAACATATAGTTAAAAGAAATCTGATCTTTTATTTAAATGCAAAATTGAGTATTAAGTGATCCATCCAACTACTGAATGTAGATCTGAAAAAAAGAATTTTATCATAGCTTAGTTGTACTGTGTCATTTGCTCATTATGTGACTTTCTAGACTGATTTTCACACCAATTTGTAGGACTGAATGCCTTGGTTTCCTCAGAAGAACCTTATACCAGGTATTCAATAGTAAATATGTGTAGTGTTCCTCTTTAATTTAAATAATACAGTACATAATATTTGTAGGTAAAATAACAGAACTGAAGATAAACCTGTTATGTGAAATAAGCCAAAATGAGAAAGTCAAATAGTTGTATGTTCCCTCTTCAATGAAGACTCTATCTCTAAAATATGAAGGACAGGAATGTAAAACAGGTTCTGTTTGGGAGGCAGGTACCAGGAAGAAGGAGACAACAAAGGAGATAATATCAGGTGTTGCTATGGTGGAAGTATTTTATAGAAATATATGAATATAGAGCAATAAAACCTGCTGATATTGCCACAGAAGCAGGGAGGAGACTGAGGAGATGTTGATACAGGAGATGGGTTTAATGGCGTTCTTCATATGCAAATATGAAGACATACAACAAAACCTCTATGCACAAGTAGTATGTATTAATTAGAAGGGACAAATGAAGATTTTCCCTTTGCCTATAGATAGATAGATAGATAGATAGATAGATAGATAGATAGATGTTTTATTACATCTCTTTGAGTTCATGAATATTTGTTATATAACATGCTTTTAAAATATAAATTATCTGCTATGTATCTGCTTAGATTGTCCAAATGGCCATCTTCACCACAATTAAAGTCCAAACTCCCAACCCTTCTAATGAAGTCTACGTAACTTGTCTTCCTTGAGACTTTATCTCAAGGTATCCACTATCCACGCCCCACTCCTGTCTTCCATAGGGCCATAGCTACTAGGGCTATTGCTCAAACTTACTGCTACCCGTGATCCTACCTCTACCACTGGACTTTGCACTAGGTGGTCTTTGCTAGGAATAATCTGATCTCTTACTTTTGCCTTCAGTTAACAGCCTAAAAGCCATCTATTTTAGAGAAGTCTGTCTGTACCACTTGCTCCAAAGTAACATAATTCGAAATTAAAGTTATTTAGACCTATCAGATTGTTTCAATTAATGAGTCCCACAAGCACACCAAAAAGTTTAGCCCTGTAAGAACAGCACCACCAACCATGTCATCACAACCAGCCCCCAGACCACTATTGAGAGCAAAGGAGATAATAAATCTTCATGAATGCATGGATAAACAAATGAATGAGTGAGAGACCTGAGACATGTGAGATGGGAAAGGAAGATGGTTTGGAAAAATACTATCATAATCAAGACAGAAAGCACTGAAGACCTAAATTTCAAAAAGATAACAGCTTGTAATTTTCTATCCATGCTGTTGATCACAGGATCATTATTCTTTCATTTCTAAAGATATTTTCCTTCTTATTTAAGGACCATAAATCTCATGCTCTGATTTAGAGATTTGCCTGCAGCTAAGCAAGAAGCCACATTTGTATTATACCAGCAGAGTGACTAGCTTTCAAAAATAATTAGCTGCACTCCTGGCTCTGTGTCCCTTCATTTACTTTGACAAATGCTTTTTTCTTAGCATCCATGGTCTTCTGTCACTGATGAAAATCTACTCCTTATGCTGTTAGTGAGAGCTCATCTCCAACCAGGAACAAATAAAGGAAGACAGTAGAATGAAAAGAGACCCAAAGAAGGCATACCAGTTCCCCCAGCAACCTTAAATCAAACTCTTCCCTATTTTAGATATAGACTTGCTAGCCTTGGGATGGTTTCATGTTCATTGGAAGAAGCAACGAGAATCTACGATCATCAGTATGTTTGTATGACTTGCCACTCCCCTTGTCTCTCATCCTAAAAGGACTTCCATATTTGATAGAAAGCAGTATTATAAACAAAAATTACCCTACATTTATTTTAAGGAGGTCACCAGAAAAGAAATCAGAAATCGGGTAAAAAGCATTTGCTTTTCATCGGAGCCTTTCAAAGATAGGAAGAGTAGTAGCAGATTACCTAACAGTGGTTCAGAGTGGAACCTTTCCCAGCTTTCTAATTATGTTGTAGTGGGCAAGATGCACTGCCTGATTGTCTTACTTGGCTTGCCTTTGACTCTGGCCTTCACATAGTCTTTTCTTTCTAACTGAAATACTATTTGATTGCTTTGTGAAAAAATGTCACATAGCCCAAACTACTCTTGAATTCACTGTAAACCCAGGCTGACATCAAATTCATGATCTTCTTATCTCCTCGTCAATACTAGGGTTATATTCTTTTTTTTTTTTTTTGTCGGTCGTGGGGCTTGAACTCTGGGCCTGGGCGCTGTCCCTCAGGTCTTCAGCTCAAGGCGAGCACTCTACCACTTGAGCTACAGCGCCACTTCCGGTTTTCTGGTGGTTTTTTTATTGGAGATAGGAGTCTCACGGTCTCTCCTGCCCGGGCTGGCTTTGAACCGCCATCCTCAGATCTCAGCCTCCTGAGTAGCTAGGATTACAGGCGTGAGCCACCAGCGCCCGGCTAGGGTTATATTCTTGTGACCACGTTTGCCTGATTGGAATATTGTTAATCGCTTCATTATTTAGCTTTGTCTCTCAGTTCTGTGTTCATCTGGACATTTTTCATTTGGAAGTAATACACTGAATTTCTCTTGCTCTGTAAGTTCATATTTTAGTAGTAGTAGTGGCTTGTTATTTAGGTTTCCTGGAGGGTGGAGACTGGGTTAAGCTCTTCATTTCCAGTTCTAAGATGGAGCTGTCAATTCAGAACTAGATTATCAGGTAGGTGTAATTAAGTCTTGTGCTAGTTAATCAAAATATGATTTGATAAACAATGTGCTATTTTGCTTCAAACCAGTAAGATCTTCAAAGGAAGGCACTTTCAACTGCACATAAATGTCTCAATGTACTAATTACAGTTGATATCCAAGTATTTGCTGATATGGTGTTTCAAATACCCAAACTTAACTTCCAAAGAATGTGTGTAGTCTCCATTAAATGAAGATTGCCAACTGAGCAATTGCCATTACTGAATAGCTGTTTCTATTGCATATTTAGCTATATCTTACCCTTCTCTTAATTTATTTTCAGTCTACTCTTTTCTAATAGCATTTGAGGAAGAACAAGATCTGAGTAACCAGGATAACCTTTGAACTCTTCTATTATAAAATATCTACAGGGAAAAAAACATAATATGGAAACTTCATTAGTCAGAAGTCTTTGCAAACAATGGTATCTTTCTTCACTCTTTGAGCCTTAACACACTGGGAGCAAATAAGAAATATAACTTTAGAAATCCTATATTTATATGTTGCTGCTTACTTGGTACAGGTTCTCCTAATAAATAGGAATTTTCTTTGAGCTACAGTTTTTCAGTTTCCTGCATTATTAACTGCAAGTGATATTTTACGAGGAACAAACAAGTAAAATAACAATACCTCCAATTTATAGTGGATATCAGTAGGAAAATAACACACAAGCAGCTTTGCTGGAACAAATATGTTTTCTTTATCTTATGAAATGTGCTTTCTAGGGAACTGAGAAAACAACACAAGCCCTCTTAAAGAAGAAAAGCTACACAGGTAAGCACAGAAAGCAGCTTGTTGAATAATGCATGTATTTTTTTTAAGTATTAACAACTCACCAGCTACATCTATACTGATTCTAATCATTCACCTAGCCCCGTTTCTGTGGCAACCCAATGACAGCAATTACATGGAAACACGTTACACTTATTTCATTGTACTGCTTTACAGTAAGTCCCAGAAACCAAGAGGCTCATCTGTACACTCACTCTGAGAATACTGGGTTTGTCAGGTTTAGAAACTCATTTCCAAGAGACATTCTAAGCAAAATACTAAAAAAGACCTTGTACAGATATTTAGGTCCCAGAACACTAGCAATCTCACTGAGACCTGGGAATAGGTGATACTCACATATCTGGGCTTAGGTTTGAGACACAGGTTTGAGCATGGTAGAAAATATTGTTGTATTGTAAGGCAAGTTGAAGCCTTTCAAATATAATGCAGGATAATTATCCGAAACCAGAAAAGCCAGGTTTCTACCTGATGGCCTAACTAAAGTTATACCTGCTTGTGAAGATAGAGAAGGAAAATCATCTCTCATTTTCTCAGTGACTGGAAATGGAAACAGAAAAGCGGGACGGGCTGGAAGCAGACAGTAATAAAAGCAAGTAGTAGGAAGAAATAGAGAAACAATGTCTTCAGGGAAATGGTAATGAGGGCCCATCACACTGCAAAGAATAGGACAGTTTAGCTAAGGAATTTTTAACCTCTACAAGGCAGAGGCACAGTCTCCTGAGAAATGAGGTTTGGAAAGTTGATCTGAAAGAGCTTGGTGTCCTGACAACACCACTGAATGTAAGTATGTAGGCCCCACATTAGTAATGACAGGCTTGGACAATATGCAGGAAGAGTTTATATAAGTACATGTAAAAATATCTATACTTTCAGTGAACATCTTTAAAGTTAATGTGCATATAAGACTTCTACTAAAAAGAGTCTTTAACTTCCATTTCCTGCATGAGAAACAGGAACTATTTCTCTTTGCACTCACTCCTGCTCTCTTTTAACATGGCTCTCTTGAGCCATCTGGCTGGAGCCTACCATTTCCCATAACAGTACACTTGTTCTTTACATTAAACTCCTTGCTTTGCCATGTTCAAAAAACAAAAGACTTCTAAGAAAAGTTTTCAAGCATCTCCTTCTTTTATTGCATGGTGCTGGTTTGAACTCAGGACATGCGTTCTCAGCAGGTACACACTCTAACTTTTGAGCTATTCCACAAGCCCATTTTTGGGTTTTGATTTTTTTATTATTACTTTTGAAATTGTTTCTTTTTGTATGACCAGGTTGGCCTGTGACCTTCCTATTTGTGATTTCCTGACTTACTGGGATCACAGCTGAATGTATGAACCAGCCACTGGTTCAGATGGATTCTTGTGATTGTTTTTGTCTATGCTGGCCTCAAACCATGATCCTCATCCTGTGGGTCTCCACTTTCCAAGTATCTAAGATTACAATATTGAGTCACCATGCCCTGGCCTAATATTGAGTCTTTTCTTTTTCCTTTTCTTTCTTAGTATTTGTGTTTGAACTCAGGGCTCTGTAATTGCTAGGCAGGTACTCTTGTACTTGTACCAGGCCCTCAGCCCATTTTCTTATTCTTCCTTTCCATACCAGACTCTTTGCACCATCCCTCTGGACACATGGTAGTTTGTACCTTGATGAGACCATGACCAGAATAGCAATATGTCTCCTTCTTTTAAATGTGAAGAAGCCAAGAGAATAAAGTATCTGAAGATAACAATGGCTATAATAACTATTATCCGAAC